CGTGGAAGTATGTTTACCAAGCCGCTGCCTAGAAACGGGTTGTATAACCCCACTGTTCTATTGTTGTGTATGTGTTCATGGATCCATGGCCTGGCAATGCATTGACATGTCACAATATTTTAGCGGTGATACAGTTAAACAATTTTAAGTCAATTTTTAACAACCGAAAGAATTGAGTTATATTAAAAAGTATAAGGTATGCCCTAAAAGATTTCAAATTAATTATTCTACATAATGAATTTTTCATCCAGAAAGAGATTCACTTTATATATATATAATATAAAATTATGATCACTGTGCCTTAAATCAGTGAGTGTATATCGTGAGATCAAGCAAACCCTGTTACAACACAAAAATACATCATATCTTCTCACAGGCATGTGTATCGCCGCCACAGTCTGCCCAGCACAGGGATGTCACGTGGGACTATACCTTACTTCGCTGCCCATTTCAACATCTCCAGGACGTGTAAATGCCCCGTATATGTGGCATCCCGATTTAAGAACAAGGAATCCTACAGGAATATATATCCCTGCACATGCATCAATGCAGTGTAAGTGGTCAAGTACACAGCTACGTTACTTGTAAACTCCCAAGTTTGAACCTCAGATGCCACTATTCCATTGAATGGTGGGTAGCAGTCAGCCTGTCAGCATGCAGCCTTGCACTTGCTCACCAGAAGTGAGTGAATTCAGAAGCAGGATATAGCTGCAAGTGTTAACACAAGGGTGCATGGGTCTAAACCCCTCCTTCTGTCCTATGAAGACATCCTAATGTGCTGGCCAGGAACTCCTCACCCTAGCATTACATGACAACTCAGCTACAAAAGAAGGTAGTGCTAGCTTCACACTGGATGAGAGTTGTCTTGGCCCTTGGTACTTGGCCTTGTCAGAGCCTGAAACCTACAACCATACATCCTGAAACTGCTGAGTGAACCGAGCACTGAAGGTTAACACAGCGCCCACATCCCATTTATCATTTGTGGACAGAGATCCACTGGTGCCCATCCCCAAACTTTTACACAAGCACTTTGGCACAGGAGGAAAAGTGAAGATTTGAAGAAAGCCTCCACCACAACCAATAAACAATGGCTCCAGCAGAAGTTGCGAGACTGGAGCTGTGGATGGTTACAGCATGTAGTGTCATCATTTCCTCCTCTGAACTCGCGCCTCGATCCCTTCCCACACACCTGTTTTCAGAAATGTCATCTTTACCTGAACAAACCTTGTTATTCTGCCAAAAATTATCTACATGTTCACTTTATGTGTATAACCCACTGCCAACAATATCCTACCTTATTCCAACAATCTATAACTTGTACTCTTCTCCAAGTATAATTAGAATGATCAAATCAAGGAGGAACAGATGGGCAGGGCATGTAGCATGAACGGGGAGAAGAGGAATGCATATAGAATATTGGTGGGAAATCCAGAAGGAAAGAGACTACTATGAAAACCAAGACATATGTGGTTGGACAATATTGAATTGGATCTTAGAGAGACAGGATGGGATGGCTCAGGTTTGGGACCAGTGGAGGGCTCTTGTGAACACAGTAATGAACTTTCAGGTTCCATAAAATGCTGGGAAATTCCTGAGTAGCTGCAGAATTGGTGTCTCCTCAAGAAGGGCTCAGTTCCATGAGTGTGTGAGGGCAGTTCCCGTTCACTGTCTGAGGTACTGCAGTTTATCAGTTACAAATTCAATATCATATTATCAACATCCATGATATAAATTTTGTAACATCAATTTTTCCATTTCAAATGTCCCATATTACACAATCTATGGTTGTGCACTCTCTCAGACGAAGTTCACTGAAAATCAATTCACGGCATGGGGACTCTCACATACTGGCTACTTAGTTTTATTACTGGTTAATTGCAACTGAAAGTGAACAAGTGTGACAAAGACTGTTTCTAAGACCAACACACTTCACTGATGCAAAATGTTGTGGAGTGGGAAGTGTTACCTTGTGAATCATGCTTATCAAGTGCTGACCTTCAAGGTTAAACCAAAGTGTCATTTAATTACCACACTTGTGAATACTCAACTGATGCAGTAAGTCAAACTTAAAAAAACACACTTACAGTTTAATAAAAAAAACAAAGTATTACATGCAAAAAATATCAGATCTTTGGCCGTTGTTGTTATGTGCTTTTTAGGTGTGAAATCCTTGTAAACAAGATAAAATGTAATCATATAGCTAAATTTTGAGGGCCTGATTATTTTAACATTTAATATGCGTGTTCAAGGTCTAGATCAAACTTGAGTTCCTGTTCAACTATTAATCTTGCCATCAGCGTCATCACTCATAATTAGTTAATTGCAGCTCCCATGTGCCAGTTGGGGAAGCTAGATATGTCGGGTGGCATGGTGAAAGTTTGAGACAACATGACGTACGATCACACACTAAAAACAGGGAGTGGAAGCTGACTGAATGGGGGAACATGAACACAGTACACATTAAGAAACACATACAGAAAGGAATGTTGTAGAGTTCAGTTTTAGTCCAGTATGGCTTCATACTGGGTTTGGAGTCATGACCCAACTGAGCTGCAAGAAATATTCACACATCCTTCATACTCATGTGCTGAAATATCTGGTTTATTTCTTGCTCATGCATCATGTTGCATATATCAGTTGGTCTCTTTACAATTACTGCCAACATGGTCTCAAGATACAGCACAAAGAAATCAAGAGGTTGTGACTTTTCATTAATACTGGGAGGAGCAGTTTTGTTCTCTCACAAACTGGTGCACGTCTGCCTTATCAGAGGGAAGTTGGTGGTACCCCTCTAAATCTTCATCATTTTCTTTAGCAGATGACTGATCCAGAAGCATGGTATCTTTGAGCTCTTCTTCTGAGACAATGCCAGCATACTGATCTTCAACAAACATCTTGTGCCATTCTAAATTGAATAATAGATGCCCACGTTTCAAAGGTCCTGCCACACTGATTGTGGATCACTGGTCTACTGAACACAATTGAGTGTGGAAAGAAAGAAGCATAAGGAAGCACAGAATCTGCCACTGAATACCAGAATATATTATTCAATAGCAACACTATCCTCTCCTCACTTTTTCTTCCCTGTTCATAAAACTGCTTCATATGCATACTAACAAAGGTAATGAGAGAACAGTGGTAATAATCCATCACTGACAACTTTCACATAAATGTAATCATGAATAATTTGTATTTCCCCTCACATATTTTACCTCCCTTACGTATATTCATCAGGTTTTGATAACAGTCATATTGTTACAGACACCAAAAATGGATCGAGAAGGAAAACATATTTGGTGTTTGGGTTCAGAATGACAGCAAATTGTTGCATGTGATTATAACAGCTGTATGCATGCAAAAATAAATTTGATGCATGGACCATTATACAGGGTGAATCGTATAGAACCGGCCCGATGAATTTGCTAATAATTCCGCAGATGATGCATATAACCGCTCACTATTATGATACAATAATCCTTGGGCAGTGCTGAGTCAAATGGTGTGCACATGATCTGGCAAGTGGTAGCCCTTATGCTGCAAGGTCAAGGGCGATCCCTAAATGTGTCTGCAGTGCGCAGGCGACAGTCATGGACTATACTGTTGAAAAGCGAGTGTTTCTAGTGCCTACTTGAAAACGGCGGACACTTTCAACACCTACTCTGATCACGGCACACAATCCAAGATATGTGTAAATTACTTTAATATCTGTATGGTATATTTTATATTACAGCTCATTTCGTCGGGCCGGTTCTATATGAATCACTCTGTATAAAAGNTGCATATAACTGCTCACTATTACGACATAATAATCCTTGGGCAGTGCTGAGCCGAATGGTGTGCACATGATCTGGCAAGTGGTAGCCCTTATGCTGCAAGGTCAAGGACAATCCCTAAATGTGTCTGCAGTGCGCAGGCGACAGTCATGGACTATACTGTTGAAAAGCGAGTGTTTCTAGTGCCTACTTGAAAACGGCGGACACTTTCAACACCTACTCTGATCACGGCACACAATCCAAGATATGTGTAAATTACTTTAATATCTGTATGGTATATTTTATATTACAGCTCATTTCGTCGGGCCGGTTCTATATGAATCACTCTGTATAAAAGACAATGTTGATACCCCACAGAGTAAAATTCCATACTCTGTTTGGGACAGACATATATGTAGGGTGCCAGAAGGGATCCTCAAAAAGAAGATGCATGATTATTGATATATCTGACATTCAGCCACTTGTCAATTCACCTGGGTGTCCACACATCAGACATCCGCCCTTTAAAGGTTAATGTAATATTGCTATATTTGGTAGTAATGAAGAGCTCAAATATGACTAGAACTGATACAACAGACCAAAACATTAAATTTCAGATTGATACAAAGGAAATATACTACAATGGAAAACTAAATGCAACAATATATATTGTCATGTGTTGGCTGTGTCATGCAACAAATAACTTCACGTGGGTCTCGGATTCAGCGACTCTTTCTTGGACACTCACTCTTACACATCATACTGTTATTATTGCCTGTGGTATCACTTGACTTCTGGCGACTAGGTTCCAACTGTGCTGTACGAAGTCTGGGTTCCAACTGCATTGTATGAAGGCTAATTAGCTCTGTGTTGTTGTAGCTCTGTCTCTCTCGGCTTATGTACGTGTTCTGCGGACTGGATACGAGACACCATTCCCTAAGGTTTGATCTCACTTGCTCGGCAATCCGTTGCTTCGGGAACGATCTCTATAGATTACGGCGGTAACATGTTTCGTCTCGTCCGCTGGTACTCAACGGCCTTCTGTTGTTCATCTCCAGGGGAATGCGTTCATTGTTTCGGCACTGTCTACGCAACGGCCCACTGTTATTGCGTTGTCATGGAAGTATCTACTCCAAACATGTTACAATATTTTCAACTGAAGTAAAACCTCACGTAATACAAAAACACACACTGCATCACAAAAAGCAATCAGGAAGTATCCATATAATCTGGAAGTAGACTTCCTACCTGAGCACTTGGCTGCTCTAGTGTGGCTGAAGGTTGAGCTGGAGACCAGGAAGCTGCATCTGATCGACCAGGCACTGCAGCCCGCACTTCACTGGCTGCAGTAGGTGAGTAAACAGCACTGCGAAGCCCTTGACCGGGTGATACTGACCGGGCTATCCCTGTAGCTAAAGAGCATATAAGATGGTATGTGATATATCACTGAATTATCTAACTCCAAGCAGCAGTCCTTCCTGAGAAGCTAACAGTCTCTCAGCTGCTCAAGTAATTCCCTACATTTATAGAACCAAAAGATTCATTATCATGTCAATAATGACCTGCCAATTGTCTCTATTCTGAGTCAAATGAATCTAATTAACATACTATCATCCTGTTTCTTCAAGTCCAATTTTAATGCGATTCTCTCGTCTATGCCTACATCTTCCAAGCAGTTCTCTCTTTTCTGGGTTTCCATTTTAAAAAATATGTACTCATTTCTCCCTTACGGATGTATCATGAAGAGAGAAAACAGGAAGGTCACATACAAAACAATTTAAAGGACGAGATTTTCAAAAAAACGTTTTTAATTTAGCATCCACTAAACGAAACAAGAACAGCCAATAACCAACCAGGAAAGAGATTCCATTTATTCTGAATATATGGAACCTCAAATATCACTGGCCTGTTCATGCTGGTACACTTTGTATACGCAAAATATTCTTTGAAATAAAATGTGAAGCTGCATCTATACCCTACCACAATTAACAGTAACCTCATCTCTTCAAGAGCACAATTTCTACCAACATTCTGACAACTTACTTTCATTAAAGTCTCAGGATGCATCTCTGTATAAGATCCTCCTTCAGTACTACTACAAGACAGCCACATTCTCATTACTTTCACATAACCACTTGATGTAATGTCACTGTAATCATGTTCTAACAGTTATAACAAATTTATTAATTTTAATTAGGTGATTTCTAAGACTTCAGTATTACTTGCCACCATGCCACAGCCAGCCATGGAAATGCTCTAAATACTGTCACGCAAAAATGGCACAACCCTACAGACAATAAGGTGCGTTACTAGTCTTAAGGTTTCTTTATCCAGTCTACCACCTTTCTGACAGGTATCACCTTAAAGAAATTCCCATATTTATTCTTCAGTAAACTTATATTTATATACAAGTATACATGTACAAAAGAAATAATGTAAGAGACATAAATATTATGCTTCATTGACAAAATTCCTGCACATTGACCCCAGTGAATGAACATGACAGTCTTTTCCTAAGATTATCTCATGGCTTGGCCAGTCAACTTACTACTTACTGATTAAGATGACAATACTGCTGAAAACTGTCAGTAACTTCTTCAGCTGCTCCACAGCTGCAGTCTTGAATACAGTGGGCTTAAAATGCTTCCAGACCCCGACCTCTGATCCTTGCCTGTTAGCATGACGGGCCATTCCAGAGTAGGCCCCTGGTTGGTGACATTCATCACCACACCATGAATATACAACTTCAAGCACTTTTGTAACAGACATCTGCTGATGGAGGCAATGCACATTATCACTTTCTAAGTGGAACCTTAACTCACCAGACTTGAACTTCTGATAAAAGTATATATGTAAATTCCCAGAGTGGTCTGTGTCTCTACTTTCAGTATCTGACTTATGCAGATAAATGCTACTTACTTGGACCACAAACAGGTACACTTGAGACAGTTGCCGTAGGCTGAACAACTTTGGCCACAGAACTAATCATTGGTGTGCCAGCAGCTGGGGGTGGGGGTGAAATACTGCCATCTGCATGAGGTGTTCCAGGCTGACCCCAAGTGCCTAGTTTTGGGGGAGTAAGTGGCACTCCAGCTACAAAAAGAAAGGTAATGCTGAGGAAACTGATCAATGAATTATAAACTTATGGATCTGGTGATATTTATCAATATTCTGCCACTTTATAAGGGGTATAAGTTACAAAATGATAACAATCATGTTTTAAACAGAATTATGAGCTAATAAGGTTTATTTACGATCTAGAGTAACATATTTCCAATGATTTGGACACTGTCCCTAATTTCTGAAATCATATTGCCACAGACTGAGTTCCCGGCTACAGATCCAGATGTCCAGGTTCGATTCCCGGCGCCACCAGATTTTCTGAGTAGTAGCGGGTCTGGAACAGGGTCCACTCAGCTTTGTGAGGATAAATAGGTACTATTTCAAGGAAACAGCGGCTACAGTCTAGAAAACCGAAATTAAAGGCCATGGGGATTCGGTGCACTGACCATGTGACACCCTCTATCTGCTAAAGTTGCCACTAACTTCGCCGACAAGCAGTGCTTGCTCTGTCGGTATAGTTCGCTTGCGGACTAAAACAACAGAGTTTGTTTTTTACAGCCATAGATCCCACATGTGACTGGCCAAAAACTGCTGCAGACTGCACCATATGGAGCAACAAAATTCATACTTTGGCCTTAATTTCATAGCCTAAATATGAAATCTGAAAATAAGATTCTCAACCATCTAAAATATGACTTTGCATAACCTCCCTCTGATGATACAAAATCATTAAAACAACTCAAATTCAGAAATGTGTCAACAATGTCACTTACCCCTACCCCTTCAGTCTACTAGTTCTGATTGCTAAACAAATGTCAACCACCACCATCTTCTCATCTAATCACCAGTTAAGATCACCAGCCTATACTTTCCTCACAATGAGCATCTGTGCAAAACCCAAGAGGATCCCAATCTATGAAATAAAATCTACTTTCCTTTCAAAACAGATGTCCTACCCCGCTGTTCTGCACTGAATGTCATGGGAAGGTAAAACAAAGAAAGTTTACCATCTACAAAAGACCATAAAATCCATAAAAATTAAAAAGAATGAAGAAATAAGAACAATACATACTCTTACATGTATAAGCCTAGTGACAGAATTTAATGTAATCTCTGAGAACAATCTGTGGCTTTTGCAGAAAGTTTAATTACTGACAATTATGGCAGTATTGGAAATATGGCTATATATTTAGACACAAAGTCTGTTAAAATTACAGATTTTCATAACTGCAACGCTATGTAAATTTATAGCCCATATCCATGAATAATTTTGGTGTAAATTCATGTCAAGTTAAATAATGCTGGGTACTACAAAACTTAAGGTAGCACCATAGCTGAAACAGTCGCTGGCTTCCCACTGCGGCGGCCCGGGTTCAATCCCGGGTCTGGTCAAGTGGGATTTGTGGTGGACAAAGTGGCGCTGGGGTGGGTTTTCTCTGAGTACTTCGGTTTCCCTTGCCAATCTCCATTCCACCAAATTTTCCATCATCATAATCACCCAGGGCAGGCTACAATAGGCCAATCAGTGGCCGCCGCGCTGAGTGGACCCAGTTGGACTCCACCCCCCACTAAGCAAAATACTACAAAATTTGCCATTGTTCAACAAGTGTAGTAATTCAGTGTAAACTCATCTCTGAAGCTCTTTACTAAATAATATTGAGAGGTCATAATGCCTGGGGGCAGAATTTCCAGTTCTGCATTATAAAATGGAAAATTCTTATACTTGATGAATCCTGAATTGTTCTGATTATGGGATCTTAACCAATCTTATCTGTTAAACATGGTAAAAACCGTTTTGAAAGAATGCATTGAGACAACTTTCACAGCTGGCATTTCAAGCCAAGGGGAATGATAACACAATCAAAATGGAGAAAACAAACCTATCTCATGATTCATAATAACAGGTCTTAATGTCCTAACTCTACATGTTGGGAAGAGCCCAACAGAAACCAGCCCTCACCCCACATGTGGGTTGGTGTGGTGGGTGACAATTTCCCTGCAGCAATCATGTCTAGGGGGCTCTAATGAGGGTTCCCCCAAGGGTGACACTTTCCCTCAGTGGGGGCAAGCAACCTGACCATTAAGAAGTAGAACTGGACTGGTTATCAGAAGTGCCCAAAATGAGGAAGGCTCCCTTTAAGGATCTGGGCTTGGCTGGAGCTGTTGTGGGTCAAGCCAGAGCAATACAGCTTTGTTGACCCTGCCAGCAAAATACAGAGGTGGCTCTGGTTTTCCAGTCATCAGTATCCTGGGACAAGGAAAATTTCTCCTGCACCATAGGTTCCAGTAGTATGATCTATTGCTCTGGAGATGTCTTCCTGCATTAGACCACTCAGTTACTGGGTCTTCTGCTGCTACAAAAATGACTCTCTGGGACTCTGGTGAGGGTTCAACTGAGGGGAGGGCTATAGAAACCTAACAACAAAAGAGGCCATCAGGAAGAGATCTCTTCTGGGTGAACTGTGGGCTTAACCATGGCTCAGTTGCAGGTCAAACTGGGCACGGTGGTGGGGACTCTGATGTCCCTGTCAGTGAATGACACAAGACATTTGGGATATCCTGCTGCCAGCAGCCCAAAAGAAGATGGGATTATATCAGGAACCAACCTGGTTGGACATAGATCTATGACCTTTGGCTCTGCACTGGTAGAATCAATGGAAATTATGAGGCCCTCAATCTGGAAGGTTTTGACACTAAGGTTCTTAAGAAGCCTGAGGAATAATAAGGATGCACATCAGACCCAGTAGAGTTCTGAGTGCTTAACCAATGTGATAACCAAAACTTTCCTTCAGCTAGTACACATAATGACAAATTTGTCAAAAGCCATACATGTCAGTGCAATGGATTTTTTGATTCTGAGGTAAAAAACAAATCAAGTGTGGCAAAAATACATTAATTTTAGAATACACTTTCATTACTTTCTTGAAATTACAATTTGTTATTCATTTAATCAGTAATGTTACAGTATCATGTGCTAAAATCTTTTCAGATGATCAGTCACATCAATGTTGAAATAAAAACCAATGTTTCAGATACCTCCTTCATCTCAGAGATCTCTGAAATGTTGGTTTTTAGTTCAACATTAATATGGCTGATTGCCCGAGAAGATTTTAGCACATTTACTCACCATGACAGCTTCAAATCCTACATTACAATATCACCTCTATCGCTTTGACTGGGATTGCTCAATTAGAGAAACTAAAAGCTCTTAACTCATTCTCAGAAGAAATTTAGGGGGAAAAAACTGTGCCACCTGAGAAAACTCTGGGCCAGCCATTTAAAAAACCATTTTCTTGTAAGGAGATAATGTTAATCACTTCTGGTGTCGAGGACAAATTCTCACTCCTTCCCTCCAACTACATTTATTTTGTGATACTCTAGCCATAAACACAACAAATATTTCAAAATAAACCAATCTATAGTTGTTTACATTGGTTTTATTTAATAACTGCTACATATTTTGACCATCCTCAGGCAATTTCACTAAATATGTCTCATTTTACTGAAATATCTTAATATGGGTCCATATTAATGTAGTTATTACTTACAACTGTAAAAATATTTTGGAATTTTTAAAAATTCTCCCATCATTACAACATAAAATTCTGTGTTATTTGTGGTCTATATCTTCAGGGGTCTGCTGTTAAGTTGTTTGTACTATTTGCATATAATGTTATTAGTTTTTTTTTTTGTTTTGTTACAAAACATGAAGTTAATAAATAAAACCAATGTAAACAATTAGATTGGTTTATCTTGAAATATCTGTTCTGTTGATGACCAGAATATCACAAATCCAAATACACAACAGGATGCAAACAATAAGGATAAATTTCGTTCATAACACACTTCCTCATGATTACAAATGATGAACAGAAAAGTGTGAAATAATGCTATTGGGGGCTATGTAAGCACTTGTTGGAAGTAACTGAGAAAAGGCATGCAAAATCTTAGTCACAATAAGCAGTACCCAGGCAGAATTGAACCTACAACATCCTTAATAATAATAAAAAACAGCGTTAGCGGGTATATAGTGAGTTTGAGCCCAGGGGGCTAAAATTACTGAAAACTATTTTGTTGACAACCAACCTGAAGTAATGTTTCATCTGTTCTTGTTTCTGGCTAGTGACAGAGTGGGAATTTATTCTGGTAATGTTGTATTTTCAGTGGTTTATGTCTATTAGTCTCTTATGGTAAGATATTTGTCATTCATTGTGTCAATAATTCACAGGAAAAAGAAGTGTTTCCCTTTCTGCAAAGCACACTATTATGAAAAGAGAAGTCCCAAATTATATATATATAAGAGAAATATTAACTAATAACTAACCTGAAAAGGCCCAGCACGCTCCTTGAAAAAAATATACACAAACAAGTCACAAACATGCCATTAAGTCATCAGATATGAATATAGTTTTATTACAGAATAAAAATGAGTATTTCATACGTGATACAAGATTGGTGTGCAGGAGCTTAAAAGTGGTGTGGAGGATGAATGCATAGCAGAGACCCTTGTGCCCAGGGCCATGATGTACCTCAGGCAACCCATCTTATCTCTTCTGGGTTGTATGACAGAAATTTTTTATTTCTGAAATTAGTGATCGGAATTACAGTTTTCAAGTTTTTCTTCCATACCAAATAGTGGAACGTGGCATCAGTCCCTTGTAGTTATAGCATGCAATTTACAATATGTATTGCATTTATACTGACCAAGAATTATAAATTTTCATATGGAAAGGCAGAAGGAAGTATCAAAAATAAATATACAAGGAATTTAATCTTATCTGACCAAGGCTGTTTATGTATAATAATGTGTTAAAATTAACTTCAAATTGAAATGTCATGCCCTTGTACCTGGGGCCACTGACCAACTCTGTGCCTCAGGCTATGGCCCAAGGTATGAATACAAAATTGAAAGGAGTAATTCAAGTCTCTAATATAGTAAAGGCAGTTTTTTTAGTTTCCACCATTTGTAAATTATTGAAGAAAAAAATAGCCAGAGCTATTCAAATGTTTCTGATATGTCTGATTAGCAAAACATTACGCAAAGATAAAAGGACTAAAATAGGAACAGGTAACATGAACAATGACTTAGTTTAATTTCTTTTTTACATTAACAGAACCATATCAGGGTAGAGTTTGTTGGCGATAGGATGTCCTACATAACACTAAGAGGTTGGTGGTGCAACATCACTACCCTGAATTTCCATGCCCAACAAAAGATCTGACATCTGAGTCTGCATCATAATCCCCTGCAATATCCCTGCTCAATCCCATGCAGAATTACCACTAGCAGGTCCTTCAGCCAGCCATCCAAATGTGTTTCTTCTGTCTAACAAATGGCACAGCCAGTAAGCTGAACTGATTACAAAGTAAGAACGCAGCATTTAAGATCAATTTCACTTATTGTATTTGCTGTCAGATGTAACTTTTAAATGTTTAAAAATGCTCTGTATACAATGAATAATATTCAGAGATTAAAAAAATAAAAATGTGTACCTTAGTTAGGATGTTATACTTTTTAGCTCTCTGGGAATAGAACCCCCGTTAAAACATTTGACTCCACTGCATAATGTCTTCATGAAATTGCTTCCAAAAGATGATAACTGACTTATATTGAAAGAAAGCATGGCCAGCAGACCCAGAAAATACCTGTAGCAATGTTCTACCATGAACTTCAGCAGCCAAAAATGCAAAACTCAATACTACTGATTTTTTTCAACTAATTCAGTCTCCAGTTCTACCATTGCAGCTGTCTGCTTCATCACTCTCTTGAACCATCTCTCCATACAATTTCATGACTCGTCCATCAGATCACTTAATCATCAATATAGCATCATAGTGTTAATATTTTTTTTATTATTATTATTATTATTTCAAAACCCCTAAACAATGCACAAAATACATCTGGTTAATAGGTATCTTAATTTTCAATGGAGGCATTTAAATACTGTGACATTAAGCCTGAAAGCTGGAATAGCAGAGCCACAGTAGATGTTAATTGCTAGGCAACGACTCGGTAAACAGGTTCCTGCGGAAATGAAGATGCAAACAATAGAAGAACTGCCATTTCTTTGTATAGGCAAGGTAGACACACCTATATAACAACAGAGGAATTGTTAGGAAACGGTGTTTTCTGTTAGACAGACCCAGGGCTACATAACAAAGATCTCGGGGCCAGGCATCCATCTACATACAACCCTGCTCCACATTCACTACACCAATAAAGAGATTCTGTCCACTTCCCATGTTTTGTGCACACAAAATATTTTCTTTGAGGTTATGTCTTCTATCCAGTGGCAGGAATGTGCTCCAAGAAAGGTTCTGTGATCTTTCAGGCAATCGTTCAAATGATGTGTGGTTTTGTACAGAGTGAGGAACACCAGAACAATGATTTTCCTCGGGCCTTGTTCTACTAGAAGCCTTTATTTTTGTGGATCTATGTTTTTGTTATTTGGAAGTGAATGATACATGATCACTGTCTTATACGCTGCTACACTGAGTATTCTCTTCAGTAATTTCAAATACCACTTGGTACCCTTATTTTGTTCCAACAAGCACAGCTGTAGCATTTAATCCTCAAAATCCACATCTAACATGCTGACATTGTAATCACAAACAAGCAATAGCATTGCTTCTTCTTGTTCCACCTAATTTATAGACACACATTTCATTTCTGCGGTATGTAGACATCACAGTCACTTGCTTCATGTCTTGCCACACAAGGACTGCCACCGCCCACCGAGGACTGACCTCAACACTATCCATCCTTCAGTCTATTGTTCTTCAATACAGGAGCAACATTTTCTTGTTTAGCACGTAAATTTCCAACGATGTCCTTTTGTTTTTGGGCATGGGACTTCATGAACCAACCCAACTTTGGTAAATTATAAAAACTGTAGAGTAGTAATAATTCAGAGGTAACAGTTTGTTGGCAGGGAGCACAGGATTTTAAATCTCCTGGTTCCACAGGACTGGGAGCCATATTTTAACTCAGAGGTAATGATATTAGTAAAAAAAAAAAAGTCACTTGTCCAGCTGAACATTTACATGCACCCTCGCAGTAACACAACAAATGTCTAGTAAAAGGTGCATTAACAGACCTGTCACACTGTGAGAAAACAGACTAACATGGAACGACTGAACGTTAAGGCAGCCCTTGCTTTATAAATTCTAAAACTGAAACAAGTAGTCTCATATTCAAGTAAGTAGCTAGGACAGTTCAGTATAGCAACAGGCTGGATGGCTGGAGTTCAATTTTTGGCAGGGGCAGACAACTTTCTCTACTCCATAGCACCCAGACCAGCTCTGGGGCCCAGCAAGCCTCCTATCTAATGGGTAAGGGGGTTCCTTCCCCTGGAGTGAAACAGTCAGGGTGTGAAGATGACCACTCATCTCCGTCTAATGACAAGGTCAACGATGGTGTAGCTATGCCTCCACTCCAACATGCATCTTCATGGCATGGTGCTTAATTAAGGCACAACTTTATTTATGTTCATGTATATACAATACCAGCTTTTACTTTTATTACAACACACCACATAACTATAAGAATCAGACCCTTTTGGCATTAAGTTGATAAGCAATTCTGCGACCAAACAAAGAATGCTTTTAAGGCACTTAACACACAATTCCATTAGCAAGTACTAATAAAAATACCTAAAGAGCAATCATTCTTACTCGGTGGTTGTGTGGCAGGAGTTGGTCTTGGAGAAGTTTGAGGAGGAATCATCGCAGGCTTTACTGGTGGTTGTGGTGGAGTACTTGCCACTCCAGGGCGTTGTAATATCATTCTTGGTGGGCTAACACTAGCTGTTCCTGCTTGGAACATAGCCACCTGGTGAGCTTCAGCAAGCTGTTTCTTGAACGCTTCTGCCTCACCTTTTGCCTTCTCCAATTCCATTTCAAGATCCCTGACCCTAAAAATCGAAATTAAAAACAAATTATAATAAGAGTCATTGCATAGTATGGAATACTAGTAGACATTTTAATCAAACGATTAAATGTTACACTGTAAAATACATTAATGACCTCACTGGTGATACAGTTGCCACCTACACACCATCTAGCTTCAGGGTCTTGTGGCAGGCATTCCCTAATTCCTTTTAAGAGTTGCTGCTTCGCTTACTGGTATTACTTAACCCTGATAACGAATGAACAAGCTACCTCCTTCCAGACACGGCATTCAAGTAATCTAACGAAGGGCCTGGTGTGTCAACCACGCAATTGCCGTTGCAGTGACTCTCTTCAGGTGCTTTCAGTTTGGAACTCTATGCCACATCCAGTTGGTAGTTCTCACAATGGTCATGGAGTGCCTCAATGAATTCTGTATGCTGCTCATGCAGGGACACTGCAGATGCAGAACATAGGTGGTCTACCCTTGCAGGACAGTGGGTAGATGTGTGGCCTTCTCCCAGGCTGTCGACTTGCTGTGCTCTCCCACAGCCTTCAACTGACAATGAAGTACAGTCCAGGACATGGAGCAATCTATCCACAGAACCCCTGTGGTTTCACCTTGTTGATACTGATCACAGCATTCCCACCACCTTCATGCCCTACTCGGGCTTCAACTTCTGCCAGTTATGTTATAAACTCTGTATGTCCAGCCATGTTCCTCGGATCTTGATGTCATATTCCTCACAGAGGCTCTCTGCCCATTTGCTTTACCTGTCCATAATGGTTTCTTCAAATGAGGTCTGGGCAGACTTAATGGCACTTACTGTGGCTCTCATCTCTTCCTAACCTGCACTTACTGTGGCCATCCTCTCTTCCTGACTGGCACTTAATGAAGCCCTCATTTCTTCCTGATCAACACTTACTGTGGCCCTTTCCCCTGACCAATACTTATCATCAGGGCCCAGATTTTGATATGTCATCTTTTTTTCCTTCTATCCTATGTGATGCTCTTAAATATATAAATCTCGGATATGAGCTGCTGGTTACAGATATGTAAATTTTATACGTAATTTTTTTGACATTTTTAGTTTTAAGGTCATTTTTTCATTTTTGGGGTTTTTGGACTTTTAAGGCTATTTCTTGTCATTTTTGGCCATTTCAGGGAATTTTTCTTCATATGTTTTCTGAAATATGAATAACATGGAAGCGAAGTGTTCTTTCTTTTCTCCTTCAGGTCATTTTTCTGGATTTTTCGGTCATTTTTTGAAAATCTTCAGGTCATCAAAATCCGGGCCCTGCATATTACATTTTTGGGTCATATTTTAGGTCATTTTTCTGGATTTTTTCGGTCATTTTTTAAATATTTTCAGGTCATCAAAATCCGGGCCCTGCTTATCACAGTCCACGTCGCTTCCTTGCTGTTCATCATCTCTTCTTGGGTAGTCCTCATGCCACTCTGCAGGAATTCCAGCTGATTCATAATCAGCTGCCATGCCAGATTCATTTACTGTCCACTTCTGACAAAAGTGGCACATGAAATTACTACACTGTGGGTTCTGGTTGGAAACAGATTTCCTTGACACTGCTTCCTCTTTGCTATGATTACAAGTGGCCATTTGTTTCCTAGTGCTTCTTTTTTGCCATATCTTCCACCTCCCTCATTGTCTCCTGCTTGACTCCTCCTCTTGCTTTCTCACTGCTCCAACACAGCAGACTGACTCATCAAAACTGGCACGCTCCCTATATACTCCCCCACAAGAATGTCAGGGCTACAAAACCCTCAGCTTCCAGACTGCTGTGTGCATCACCTCTTAGGATGTGAGAGTGATGTGCCATTGCTTCATAATGACATCTTGTGATACTTCTGCTGTCCCTGCCTTCCAAAGATTATGGGTTTCAGGAACCTGCTACTCCACTTTCTAACATGAAAATTGTGAAAGCAAGTTTCTCAGAAATTTTGATACCCATCTACCAAACTACATACTGTCACCTTCCAGAAGACTGTGAACTTGTCACAACAAACTTCAGTGGGACTGAAGTCTATTTCTTCCAATTACATTTCAATGAAATAAAAATTGGAAATAAATTTCTGTGGGAATTTCGCCTTCTTTCATGACAAAACTAATCACTGATCAGTGTTCAGGTCACACCAAATTAAGAATGACACAAAAAGCTTTAAATGAAACATGTTTCTACTCTGAACAAATCTGAGTAACCAAAATTGTTCCAGACAGGTGACATGCACACCTTTGTCGCTTGAAAACCTCACAGAGCTCTGCTGAAAGCTGTCTCTATAGCAGAAGAATAACTTACCGTTTTTCTTCCTTCATCACAGCCGCTCTTAGTTGCTGCCTTTCTATATCAAACTGTGCCAGCTGCTTTTCAAGTTCAGCTTCCATTTGGAGAGATTTCTTACTTTCTTCTTCTAATCCTTCTGCCATTGAATCAATTCTTCCTTTCTCTTCTGCAAGAATTTGAGCAAGATCCTCTGAACGCTTCCGTTCCTCCACATACTTCATGATCAGCTTCTTTCTCTCATCAAGTAAGAGGAGAACAATTTGTTTTTGCCTACTTCGCTCCTCCTCAAGTACATCTGAAACTCGTTTCAGCTCCTTTTCCTGCTTTTTTTTAGCCTGTCGTTCTAACTCCAATTCCTACGAGCGAATAAAATATTCATAAATTTAATACTACATTTCACATCTGCATACATGATTATTTTAACATACTCAATGTTTATATTTACAATATTTTATATTTTATTGTAAGTTCATAATAATTCAATGTTTTTGGATATATTCAGTTACATGTCCCAAATATTCTTTCACTTTCGAATGAAATGTATCATATCCTATCAAGAATTAGACATGCTCACCTGTTTTAATCGAGTTCTTTCTCGTTCCAATCCATAAGTAATATCATCACCTTGAGCAGTATCATGCTCATGTTTCCTCTTTTCTTCATCTAATTCTTGAACAACCTACATGAATAAATTACACAGCCTAGGTTATCCAGTACAATATTGATATAATAAATACAGAATTGAAATTTTCAATTTTTATAAATGTTTTTTCATTTCCATAGAGATCCTACATTATTAATCTTCACTAGCCATGCATCACCATTTCACTTCCCTTCCCTTACTGGCCAAATATCATATCACAGTAACACGTAAGGTCCAGTAAGTGCAACCACATTCCACTTCACTTACATTCCATGTTGTGCATGCTGGAAGGTTCTACTATTAAAATGGCCTTTAGCTGCTTTGACAGACATCTGTATATTTCAAAGACTGGGGGTTAAGGGGTTAACCCTACATTGTCTACGTCAGACTCTCCACACGCCTGCCATAGAAAGGTCAGCGCACAAACCAAGAATTTATCACTTCACACCAAGAACTGAAATTCTTGAACAATACAGCAAACATTTTATAATTTCAAGAATATAACCCCACAAATCAACATACTGCCTAGCCAAAGCACAACTACAGTATTTACAATAACAAGATGAATGTATAACACTACATAGAGGGCAAGTCTTAATAACATACCTCACATGTAAGAACAGTGTTAACATTTATAGGCAAGCAGAAAGGGCCACATAAAAATATGGTTGCCAAACAATGCTTCTGTTTAAGGCATGTAATTAAGACTCAACCGTATATTTTCATTATTTCTATTACAAAATTATCTCAATGAATAAATTAATGTAAAAACACTCTAAGGCATATATGCTACAAACTTACTTTGTACTGCCATGAGTTAAGAGTGACTATAAATCAAGGGGGTTAGGATTGGTAATCAGATCTATTGGACTCACAGATTATAGCTACAAGTAACTACTGCACTAAAGCGGCCTCCGTAGTCTAGGGGTAACGTTCCCATCTCATGACTCAAGGTACGCGGGGTCAAACCCGGCGGAGGTCGTGGAATTTTTAAGGGCAGAAAAAATTCAGGGAACAAGTCCTCCGGGAGGGACTTTAAGCTGTGGGTCCCGTGTCGTAGATTTACGGCACGTAAAAGAACCTCATGTCTCTAGGAGATCTCTGAGCTAAATTAGGCATATTTTCCCACCCAAGTAGTTTCCAATGCCTCTGGTAGATGGGGAAAGTATTAGGTACCACTGCCAGATGACGACCGACCTCGCTGACAGAAAGGGACTAATTATCAGATACCACTGCCAGTAGAGGGCCGACCTCGCTGGCAGAAAGGGGCTGATAATGGGCACCAGTACATAGGATTTTCTATTTACATCTGCTTTACTGAACGATGCTCTCACTTGCTCATATTGCACAGTGCCAAATAGCTGGATGAATAACATATCGCAAAACATGCAAAATAAAGAATTTGTGGTATAATATAATTTACTATTCCTGCATTTGTCTAAGGGTATTGAGGAAAGCCATTAAGTCAGAGTAACTGGTTTCTAAGTGGCCAACATTTGAACATGACACCTCATAATATGAATTAGGAGTGCCAACCGCCTGACTACAACATTCAGCTGACCATTATAAAGGCCAATATGGCAAAATAGTGTGAATTATATGGAAAATCCTACCTTACGATGTCGTTCTTCTGCATCACGCAGAATTCTTGCCAGACGCATTTGGGATCTTCTTTGTTGTATCACCAGATTATCTAATGTGGCCATCTGTTGGTTAGCTATTGAACGTATTTCTGCCTCATCAACACGTGCTTCAGCAGCAGCAAAACTATCCCTCTGCAACGCTGCTAGAGGATCATTGAACAGCAAAGGCCTAAAACGTCCTTGGTTTAACAGCTGCTTCACTCTTTCAGACTTGACACAAGAAAAGAATACATATAAAAAAACATCACATCACGCACAAAACTGTTGCTGCTTACAAACAGAAATATTCATATCTGTAAACAAAAGGACCTGTACTAAAATAGACTCAGAATAATACTCCACTCAGGGAAAAGACAAACAATGGACAGAGATGATGAAAAAGAAAATCACTGGGTATAAAGGGGAAAGGTAAGAAACAAAAACAGCAGGCAAAGAAGAGAAACTGAAAACAAAATGAAAAGGATAAAGATTGACAAGATGGAAGAGCACTGTAGCACTGTCACTAGTGATATAGTGAAGATGCACAGCTCTTCCAGCAGCCAGTAAATATATCAGCCATATTTCTGATCGGTCTGAATGGAGCCAAGTACCCATGAGTAAGAGGACAGTACAAAAATGTTATACTTGGCACACTTTCATAGCTGAGGAACATGAACTCATTTCAGTGACACTACCGGGATATGACCCCAGACCCAGAAGGCCACAAGGCCATGACCAACCAACATAACAACAACCCCCCCTCAGCTTACGGTTAAAGCCCAGCCTTTAACCTTGCTATTCTCTCCCCTACACTAAACCATGCTTGTCCGATCTCCCTTCCCCTACCCCTCCCACACCACTGCTTTCACTTGTTTACTTGTACTTCCCCCCTTCCCTCTCTCCTCAACATAGCTGGTATATTTCCAGTCTGCTTTACCGTTTCTCACGGTGTTGTCGCTTGCAGAATTCTTATACTTTTTCTTCTACCCTGAAGATGGGGGCGATACGTTCCTCCGAAACGTCGGTTAATACCACATACACACGGTGCCAAATCCCAGAAGACTGCTTTCTTCTTGAAAGCCTCAAATCTTACCTAGCCACTTCATTTACTGTTAAATGCTATCAGTAAACTAAAATATGGTTAAACAAGAATAATCCAATACAAATGTATGGGAGAATGAAGGTATAGTTCCATGAATTCTTAACTTCACCACTCTACAGAAAAAATTACAGCTTCATTTCCTGGTGGCTTTATCCCACAGAATGAATGGCAATCTGTTATGACATGTATTTTTATATGAAGAACTGTTAATGTTTTCAAGAGATAATAAACCTTACTGTGAATTAAACAAGTTTTGAACTCTTAACAAAAAATCTTTCTGTAATTTCAATTATCACGCTTCATGCCAGATTGCTAATCATATAACTGATTTTGGTTCAAATGTAGTCTAATTTGAGGAACTATTCCAGAACATTCTATCGGTGACTGAGATAAGACATAAAATCTTTCAGGATTTTATGTTTTAAGTTTTGACCAAATAAAACACACCACACTGAAAAAGCGCATACAGTTATTATGCCAGACGACCAAAAGAGATGTGCAGTAACTTCATGTTTTGTAATTAAAGACATGTCTGCACAAAATTACTGACCACACTTGATCAGCGTCTCTAGGCTCTATTAACTAATGATATGCAGCATGCTTTAAAATGTAAATTGCCTATACAACTAGCAGTCATCAGATGGTGGTATAGAGTACCACATATGGTCAACATTTGTAGTGTTGCTCTCAGTGCAGTGAGCAATACAAAAAAATTGTGTTACCCACATCACCTGAGAGGCTATCAATTGTAACTTCTGGGTTTAAGCAGCAGCAACATTGAAGATATGTAATTAAATATTTCAATAAAACTAAATATGAGATAAACATTACCTTCAAACAATCACTTCTAACACAAAGGTAAAAATTAAGTTGTCCCTGTACTTAATTAAGTACCATGCCATGTAGACTTATAGGGGAGTGGAGGTACAGCATCACCTTCATACTCCTGCTGATTTACCATTAGAAAAACAGTCCCCAGTACCAACTGAAACGAGGCTGGGTACCACCCCCAAGCAAGTCTGGCTGCTGTGGAGAGGAGAAAAATCTCTTGCCTCTGTCAGGAACTGAACCCAGATTCCACAGCCCTCAAGCCCATATCCCATCACTATACTGACTGAACTAACAGGGAATGTGCAATTCACAGCTCACTCACTGCACAGACTTCCACAGACTTCATTGGAAAGCTTCCTGAATGGCTTCACTTGTTCTGGTGTCATCGGCAGTCCACCACATGCACCACATCACTTTAAACTCCAATGCTGCAGCAAATGCTGGTGCCAACGAAGAATTGTCTGTCTGTTTGGTGGACCACCTCTGATGAAATTTGGGCTGAAGAGTGATGGGAAACTTAAAATTCTACAACTCAGTAACAGCACTGAATTTTATCTTGTGGTGTGAATGATGGACAGCCTCTGTGGTCCTAGTGGTCAGTTCCTACCGAGAGATCCAGAGGTCCCGGGTTCGATTCCCGGCGCTACCAGATTTTCTGAGGAGTAATGGTTCTGAAACGGAGTCCACTCAGCCTTGTGAGGATAACTGAGGAGCTATTTCAAGGAAATAGCGGCTCCAGTCTAGAAAACCGAGATTAACGGCAGTGGGGATCCATTGCGCTCACCACGCGACATCGTCTATCCACAAAGTTGGCGCTAACTTCAGCAACAAGCGGAAGTCACTCGGTCTGTATAGTTCACTTGCGCTGTACAGGCCATGGAGTTTGGTGGGAATGATGCCATTTTGGACAAACTAACCAACAATTATTGCACATGCACAGTAGTGTTAGCAACTGTCACAAGCACAACACCAGGTGTGGCTTTACCCTTTTCACTAGAAACCACTTGCATATTTCTTCACTGACAGTAACATTATACAGTTTCTTTAACAGCAGTAGCATCCATAACTACACAGATGTTAAGGAACACCTGGCCAGAGAGCATCAGCTGGATGTCTGCTGCACAGCAAGGGGGATACACGTGAGAGATCTACTGAACCTACAAAATATCTGATGAGTTTATACACTTTTCCCCCACAAACAGACAGCATATATCTTCACTGGGAGTGAAATATATCAGTTTCTTCACCAGGTGTGTGCATTTTGGACCCCTGTATTTTTAGGACTTTCAGAAACTGAGACATAAACATCTAGCATCCAAATTATCCTATTACAAAGTAGCTGGAACATTCAAGAATATGGTTTGACAATCCAATCCATCATCACATGATATCTTGTCCGAATCACAAGGGGATGGAAACGGCGCACAAGATATCTCATCAGAAAAAGCTGCAGTTAAAATAGTTACACTAAAATATCAATCTTTCATAAAGGATAATCAAAGTATTTGTAAAAATGTTGTTAGAATAGACCAAAGTCATGCCCAAATACCAAAAAAACCTGTAGTATGGGTAATAATAGTCATCAGGCATCCAAAACTGCCAGCAGAGCACATTAAAAGATTTGACAATCACAAAATTTGTAGAGCTAATGAACATGGTCATCTCCACACTCACACTTAAGGAAAACATTCTTCATCCATTGCTGACTGAACACTGGGTTGATCTAATCCAAAGTTGGTAGCCATGAAACTTATCAACACAAATACTGAGTAAGATTACCTAAATAGAATGCTCTCTACAGCCCCTTCACTGAGAAATAGGAAAAGGAAATATAAAAAGTTCCAAATAAGGGTAACACATGCAAGCATGCACATAAACAGAATAATTTCTAAAGTATGATGGCTGTGAGTCATAATTTCAAAGTTTTCTGGCATCATAAGGTCTGTAATTTTCAAAATACAGAGTATTTCGGGAAGCTTTAAATCTACCAACATAAAAGAAATCAAACCAACCCAATCTGCTCTGTGTGCTTGTGTGCGCATCAGTGCACATGAGTGAATGCATAGGTCTTAATTCAATCACTTGTCACATGGTATGCAAATTATAACTGTAGCACTTACAATTTTGGGCAAAAATGCTCTTAATAACTGTCATGTCAAATATGAATATGTATGAAGAGAGGACATATATAGATTTTTCTTACCTTTAAAGTAGCTATAACAATATCCCGGGCTTGCAGTTCACCTTCTAGGTAACTAAGTAGCTTAAGTAAGTCAGTTTTATTTAACTCCATTTTGGGATTCCGCTAAAAATAAAATGAACAGGAAGTTATTTTGACAGCTGTAGGGCAACAAGCTGTATCGGACAGTCTCAAATTGTAAGTGTATACCATATTATAACACATAAATCTAAAATGTCTATGGGCCACCAACTAACATAATAAATCAATGATTTTACCAAAACTTACATGTAAATATTTATTTGTATAATTCTTTTCATCCAGGTGATGTGCAAATTTGATTAAAATTCTACATGTATCAAAACTATATTACATATATTAATATATTTTTTATATATCAATATGATTTTTATATCTACTGTTCACACACAATTGATTTTGGTGGAACACCATTTTTANAAGGACCAATCATTACCTACTTTGAAGTAACTGCCTGTGAGAATGGCAAAAACCAAAAAAAAAATTGACAGCAAACGTGATAACCACTACATTTCTGTGTCCTGTGAAATACTCAGTAACACTTGTAACACAGAAACAAAATGAGTTAAAAACAATGCTTGTGTTCTTATATAACAGCTTGCTGGCAAAGCTGTGCAAAGGAACTGACTGCACATGCTGCATTTTAACCAAAAGGAAGCCCTCATTTTTGGACTAATAATCCTATGAATTCCATGTTAGGTGAGTGCCTTGTCACCACGGCATGGCGCATCCTCAGCTTGCGGATGGAGGAGATGCCCTCTAGTTATGGAGGGAAGCTACGAATATACTGAATAAGCAGTCACGGACAGCCGACAAGGGCTGGTCCTCCAGCTTGGGAGTTGGGTGTGGGGCTACACAACTCCTCACCGTAAAAAATAAACTTGTTACGAACATTCTCAAGAAGCCTCGGACCTGGACGGATTCCTTGGCTAAATGACCTATGCTAAAGAAAATGGATATGAGATTTGGAACGTGGAATGTTAGAAGCATGTATAGGGCATGTTGCCTCAGGGCAGTGGTGGAAGAAATCTTAAAACATAAGTTAGATTTAGCAAGAGTACAGGAGGTCAGATGGGACAGCAGATTCACCAGCAGGTGAATATACATTTTTCTATGGAATGGGGAATGAAAATCATTAATTAGGTATAGGTTTTTCGTACATAAGAGAATCTTATCAGCAGTTACGAGGGTAGAGTTCGTTAGTGATAGAATATCATATATAATACTAAAAGATCACTGGTGTAATCATCATTACAAAAGTTCATGGGCCAACAGAAGATAAAATTGATGACATAAAGGACAGGTTCTATGAAGAACTAGAACATGTACTTGATAAATTCCCGAAGTACACTACAAAAATTTTGCTAGATTTCAATGCCAAAGTAGGAAGGGAAGATATTTTCAAACCAACAATTTGGAATGAGAGTTTGCATAAAATTAGTAATGATAATGGAGTTAGAGCAGTAAACTTTGCCACATCAAAAAATATTACTGTCAAAAGTACAATGTTCCCACATCGTAACATCCATAAATTTACTTGGACATCTCCTGATGGGAAGATACACAATCAAATATACCATATTTTGATAGACAGGAGATGGCAATCAAGTATACTTGATGTCCGTTCATTAGGGCAGCAGATTGTGATACTGACCACTACCTGGCGGTGGCAAAGATTAGGGAAAGACTGGCAGTGAGCAAACAAACGCAAAGAGTTCATATGCAGAGGTTCAATCTCAAGAAATTAAATGAGGCAGAGGGTAAACAGCAGTATCGTGTTGAATTCTCAAATAGGTTCGGGGCCTTGGAAAACTTGGCCACTGAGGTGGATGTTAATAGAGCTTGGGAAACTATTAGAGAAAATATAAAAATTTCTGCCAAGGAGAGTCTAGGTTATTATGAACTGAAGAAGCATAAGCCATGGTTACAGGATCCAATCAAAATAAACAGAGATAATCTGAACAATATAAGATGCGAAACCAGCAAGCATTTCAGGAATAAAAAGAGGGAATATCTGAAAGACAAAATTGATGAGCTTGCAATGAACAGTATGAGCAAGAACATTAGAGACATGCATAGAGAAATAAATGACTTCAAGAGTGGTTACCAACCTAGAAGTAACTTAGTGAAGGATGAGAATGGTGATCTGGTTGCAGATTCCCACAACATTCTGAATACGTGGAAGAACTACTTCTCTTAGTTATTGAATGTACATAGGGTCAGTGATGTTAGGCAGATAGAATGCACACAGCTGAGCCATTAATACCTGATTCCAGCCCCTTTGAGGTTGAAACTGCTATTGCAAAATTGAAAGGGTATAAATCGCCAGGTAGTGATCAAATTCTGGCAGAACTTGTTCAAGTAGAAGGCGAAATATTACATTCTAAGACCCATAAGCTAATCACTTCAATTTGGCATAAGAAAAAATTGCCTGATCAGTGGAAGGAATCTATTATTGTACCTGTTCACAAGAATGGTGATAAAACTGACTGTCGTGATTATTTGGGGATATCACTACTATCAACTTCATACAAAATTGTATCCAATATTCTTCTCCCAAAGTTAAGTCCATACATAGATGAAATTATTGGGGATCATCAGTGTGCGTTTCAACGTAAATGGTAAACTACTGATCAGATCTTTTGCATTCATCAGATACTGGAGAAAAATGGGAGTACAATGACACAGTACATCAGCTATTTGTAGACTTCAAGAAAGCCTATGATTCAGTTAGGAGGGAACTATTGTACAATATTCTGATAGAGTTTGGGATATCCATGAAACTAGTCTGGCTGATTAAAATGTGTTTAAATGAAACATATGGTGAAGTCCATATAGGTAAACATTTGTCTGATAATTTTCCTATCCAGAATGGTCTAAAACAAGGAGATGCTTTATCACCACTTCTTTTCAACTTCGCTTTAGAATATGCCATTAGGAAGGTCCAGGAGAACCAGGTGGGACTGAAATTAAATGGGATACATCAGCTGTTGGTCTATGCCAATGATGTGAATCTACTGGGTGATAATACAGATACCATAAANCAAATTAAATATATGTTGCTGTCTTGTCACCAAAATGCAGGGCAAAATCATGATATAATGACAGAAAGCAGACGTTTTGACAATGTGGCACAGTTCTGATACTTTCAAACGACGGTAACAAATCAAAACCTGACTCAGGAGGAAATTAAGTGGAGATTGAACTCGAGTAATGCTTGCTACCATTCAGTCCAGAACCTTTTGTCTTCTTGTCTGCTGTCCAAAAACATAAAAATTAGAATATACACAACTATAATTTTGCCTGTGGTTCTGTATGGATGTGAAACTTTGTCTCTGACATTAAGGGAGGAACAGACTGAGGGTGTTTGAGAACACATGTGAGCAGGGCATGTAGCACGAATTGGGGAGGCGAGGAATGCATATAGGATATTGGTGGAAAAGCCAGAAAGAAAGAGACCACTTGGGAAGAATAAGGCATAGGTGGGTGGGCAGTATTAAAATGGCTCTTAGAGAGAAAGGATGGGATGGTATGGATTGGATTGATCTGGCTCAGGATAGAGACCAGTGGAGGGCTCTTGTGAACATGGTAATGAACCTTTGGGTTCCACAAAATGCTGAGAAATTGGTGGCTTCCCAAGAAGGGCTCAGCTCTATAAGTAAGCAATCTTATGCATTATTAAGGCTTTATTTATTCAGCTTGGTTTTAGCAATAGTATCTTATTTCATATTCCATAACATCATACTGCACCAGATCTACCGAATTCCAATACTGTTAAAACTCTGAAGTCTTGACTTTGCTAATCCACCATATTGGCAATCTGCATCAAAAACATTGAAAAGTTAAATCAAAAGTCACCCAACTTAACATTCTAATTTCAGCCGTGGTTAATAAGCACCGAACATTCATTAAGACGATCAACTGGAATGTATCTTTGGACTACACACCTAACCCCCCAAAAAAGCTAACACAGTTTCACAGCGAATAATTATGGCAATTAATATATGTCCAGGCAATTTGGGTAAAATACAATGATTCCACAGGAGGCGCGCATATATATGAAAATGTGGGAATAAATTTTAGAGCACTGCCTCTCGAAATAATTGGTCCATAACCGCATTCAAAAAGAGAAAGCTGTAATTGTGGCATCCTATCTTCGTGGTTACTTGCATGAAACAACGATGACATACCTTCAATGTGTTACTGGATGACTTGTCTAACGTTTCAAAGCTCGAACCCTGTCCTTGTTGATGCGGAGGCGATTTGGTTGACATTCCGTAACTCGAATCTTTAGAACTATTAATGTTCGTTGCCATTCTGATCATACAGGTTAAGCAAAATCTTCAGACCCTGATGCTATATGAAGTCAACGGCCTATGTACGTACACAACACTCCAACCTTACTCAATTTATCGCTACAGTATTCATATAATTAAAAAAATCAAACGCCATTTTCAACCTTCCAACTACAGCACAGCTGTCCGACTTCATATTTATCGTACATAAAACGTCAACATTGTACAGATATCACCTAATACATTCACCAAACCTTAACCATTACCAACCACAGCTGAGATGTCTACTGCCAACTTCAAGCGATTGTTTCCAATCATCTCATATGAGGGCAGCACTTACGTGAACTCGTCATATAACGCGGTTCATTCAACTTTTAGAATAACGCTATACCACACAAATTCACGTAATTGTGTGCTATTTGTTGTGTCATGACGTATGTCTTTAATAAATATATGTACATGCAATTGCAGTGGGCTGAAGTCTAGTTATGTGAAGAGGAAAAATACCGTATTACTTCAAATATATGATGCCCCAGAATTTAAGATGCATCCAATTTTTAAACAAGGGTTTCAGGAAGAAATTAGACAGGTAAATTTATATCAGTGGCTTAAATTAGAACATAACAATTAAAAGAACGAAATATTTTGAACATATTTCAGTCAAAAGTAATGGAAAATATACAAGACTAAAACGGAAACTTAAAATCTCCACTACAAAAAACATTCCTTTCCATTTCTTTATTTAATCAGAAAGTACGTCCAACAATCCTTCAGTTCCACTTTCATTTTCTG